AATCCGCAAGAGTTAGTAACTACATTTATTTTATTGCTCTAAAACAAAATGAGTGATCTAAAGTTGCCTGTTATCTCCATCCTGTGCTTCTCTATCTATATCTTTCCTAATTATCTGTCAATTTCAGATCTGATGTTGGTTGCCTATAGTATTGATGGTATTTCTTTTAGTAAAGCTCATCTGAAGGTTAATCTCATGTTATTTTACTCTCTAGAAACCTGTCATTTCTCTTACCTTACAATGACTTTCAAGCTTGAGAAAATCTCGAGTTAAAACACAATTATATTGATATTTACTGTTTATGAATATTAGTTAAGATATACTTTCATTGACTTGTATGTATTGACATTAAAAAGTTTAAAAAGGTAGAGACAACTACAGAATAAGTATGTCACTGAAAGTACTATACAACTTGACAATGTATTTGTATCTAAATGTAAGTGTTATTACTAAAGAATCAAAACATTGAGTTAATAAAGTATATAAAATAAAAAGAACAATAAGTGAAGGCTGGTGTACATCTGAAGAAACTCTTTTAATTGAACTGTACCATGCTTTATAGGCCCCACAAAAATGAGAAATGGTGGCTTAGAGCTTCATTTTCATGCAGTACCCATAAAAGCTTCCATTATTACAAGCCCTATTCATGTTAAATGCAGTATACAAATGTACTATTCTGAAAATATCTTGTGTGGTTTCTATGTCGATGTATACACACATTCCCCAGGTTGTTACAGTCACCATCACAGTACATAGTATAGTGACATGTTAACGGGTTTTTAGCCTGGTAACAATAGACTAAACCCTACAGGCATATATTAGGCCATACCATCTATCAGTGTCTATGTCTGTGTAATGATACAGTCATTGTTGCTCAGATATTTTATTAAAAATACATCATTTTTAGGGTAATCTACTTGTACATAGCGAAAACTTTTAGGATTTCTTAGGAATTGTGTTACCCATATGTTTTTAGCTCAGGATTTTTGTTTTATTAAGGTATTAAAAACCTTTAATGATATATTGTTTTGATAGAACTCAATATGTTGATCCATAGTTTACTATAAATAGATAGACAAAAGGATAATGAATTTAGAAAGAATAGAAAGCCAAATTTCTAATTGGCTTAAAATCAGTCAATTTTGTCCCATGTTTTCCTGATACCAAGCCAAGAGATTTGATACAAACTACCAAACAGATGGAAGCATGTATTTAAGCAGAATTAAATACAGAATTAAATACAGAAATCTTCAGAATATACCACAATTATATAAACACCTGTGCTAGAGGTTTTCATTTAGGATGCTGTAAGGCTATCAACTGGAAATAAGAGTTCTGGTGGTTCATAACTGTCTTGAGAACACAAGCTTAAATTATTGCACATATATTTTAATATTAAAAATTATGAAGTCATTCTGCTGGTATTGTCAGTGTTTTATTATCTGATGAAGTTACAACCCTCTTTATAGGTCCCTACGGAATGATTCTTGACAATAAATGCATTGCTTTGACTGTGGTATAGTAGATGTTATACGTGAATAAACATTTATGCTTCTTTTCTGTTCATATCAAAACAGGCGACTACATTTAAGATACATTATTTAAGATGTTGAAAGTAGCAAAGAAAAAATATTTTAGATGATACAAACTGTAAAATTTGTTTAACATCAAAGAGTAATGTTGCCACATTCCTGACAAATACTACTCTTCATGCTCATCTTTCATGTGGGAACAGGATCCAGGATGAAGGGCTAAGAAGCAGCCAAGCCATCTAATGTATCCAAGGAAATCTGACTCCAGAGATTAGAATCAGGGTGCAGACCTGAGTTTATTGCCCAGATTATAAGCTTATATACAGTGTTCAAGCCAATATCAAGCATATAAATTTTTGGTCAATTGTATCTCACCACACCATCATATTGCTTCAATGAAAGCATTGCTTATTGGAGTAATTCAGAAGAAGTGGGGACAGTATCATCACCTATGAAGACTTCCATGAAGACCTGGAAAGCAGACACCACCCTGGCCTCAGTTCATTTTTGCTGTTTCACAGGTTTCCTGAAATACAGACTCACCCTTAAAGAACACCTTTAATCACAAGCAATGACATCTAATTGAGTGTCTCTCAAGCCAACAAATAAGAGAAAGATTTGACAGAATGAGTCAGAGGTGTGATACACATAATTATTTTGAGGATAGGAAAAAGAAGATACTTAAGAGCAGTGCAGTGCAGTGAAGTTGAGTTGAATTCAGTTCAATTCAGTCATTTGAGGGAGTTGAGTTCAGTGAGTCAGTTCAGTGGAGTTGAGTTGAGTTCATGCAGTTCAATGCAGTCAGCAGGGGCAGTTGAAGCCAGAGAATAAGAAGGAGCCAGAAGACTAGAACAAATTGTCAGTTATTGCAAGTAACTCAGTGAGAAGCTGAGAGAAACCAGATTGGATCATCTTGAAGAGTAGTTTGAGCCAGAATTGCTGAGTTGAACTAGGCAGTCAGAGTTCAGAAAGAGCTAGAAAGGGTGAGTTTATGCAGCAGTAAGTCTCAAAGATGACAATTACATATTGTGAGTAAAAGCACATTTAAGCCATCAGAGCAAGCATGGCCAATTGATCTGAACTTTTCTGTAGATATAGCTTTCTCTCTCTCTCTCTCTCTCTCTCTCTCTCTCTCTCTCTCTCTCTCTGTCTCTCCCTCTCTCTCTCTCTCTCTCTGTCTCTCCCCTCTCTCTCTCTCTCCTTCTGTGTACGTGTTTGTGTGTGTGTGTGCGTGTGTGTGTGCATGTGTGTACAACTGTTTTATTAATTCATTTTTCCTGTTGTGTTTCCAGGGGCAAGTCATGTTCAACATTGCATACTCCTACTAGAAAACAATGTTTATTCAATTCTTAAAAATATTAATTGTAATAAAAATGTTAGGCCTTTTACCTTAATTATCAGTCTTTTACTGTCATTGTATTTTACCCTTATTCAGTCACAAAGATTAATTCATCTTAAAATACATTTCTTAATTACCAACATATAACAAAATATCCCAGAATTAGTAGCCACTGAATGCCAATTATACGATCACATTGCTTTAGATTTAGATTTTTATTGTACATGTTATTTGACCTTAGCAGTTTTATTGACTAAAATTAAGAAGGTATTGGCTGACATGTGTATACATGGTACACAACAATTCTAATGTTAATCTGTGCCATGCAAGTCACAATACTGAGAAAAATTAAGATAATCAGAAAACACTAATTTTCATCATAGAAAGTAAGAATCAGTATTGTTTAGGATCTACTGAATGGAGAAAGAATGAAGAAGAGTAGGAAGGAATGGAAGGGTTGGGGAGAAATAAAGGGATGTATGGTGAATGAAAGAGCGGGAAAGAAAGAACATGGTAAAAACTTTGAGCCAAGCTAAATAAATTATGTAAATATTTTGTCTGTTACATGAGAGATTCTTATCACTTAGTAAATTATACTTTTTAATTATTTTATTTATTTACATTTCAAATATTGTTCTTCTTTCCAGTGGTCTCCTATCCACAAACCTCCCACCTCATTCCCCTCCTCTTTGACTTCAAGAGGGTGCTTCTGCCACCCACCTGTCCACTTCAGGCTCACCCCCTACCATCTCCTTTTGCTGGGGCAACACTTTAAAAATCAAAATTTTAATAAAATATACATACTGGTTGTCAGGTTTTTAATTTTTTTGCTTTATTTCCATAACTTTTTATCAAAAATACAACCATTCTGATGTATTTGGAATGAAGGTATCTGTCCATATTTATCATTTGTAGATTAATTTATTAAGGAAAATAAGAGCCCTGCAAGCATTTTCATATTCTGATCTATGAATGTGTGACTTAATTTACATAATAAATGAGTAAAAGTGACGTTGCCGATGTGATTAATTTATGAATCCTGAGCTAGCAAAATTATTCTGGACTGCATGGGAGGGTCTATTGTAACTTACAAATAACGTTTAGAGAGTCAACTTGGCAGTGCAAGTTGAAGTGAGATGGAGAGAGTCAAATTTAAGGTGGAGGAAGGACCCACAGATTGGGGAATACAAGTAGCTTCTTAAAGCTGAAGAGGTTCAGAAAATAGAGGAGTCTCTACAAAGAATGCATGTCCTCCAATACTCTGATTTTTGACACAGTAAAAATTATTTCCAATTTCCAATTTGAAGAATTTCATGATAATAATTTTGTATTTTTTTAACTACCAAATTTGTAATAATGTACTACAGCACCAACAGAAAACAACGTAGTCCCCAATAAGAATATGTGGATGCACAAATAAGCAAATTATTTTCTCTTTCTGTTTCTCTCAGTGCTGCATTGATTTGCTCAGAAATTTTACTTCTTCAATGAAACATCACAGCCAAAAACAATTTGCTGATAAAAGGGTTTATTTCATTTTATAGTTCTTAGGTCACTCTCCATCATTGTCTTAGTTAGGGTTTTCATCGCTTTGAAGAGACACCATTACCAAGGTAACTCTTATAAAAGACAACATTTAAGTGAAGCTAGCTTATAGGTTCAGAGGTTCAGTGTATTATCATCAAGGTGAGATGAATGACAGTTTTCTAGTGCTCAGGCAGGCATGGCACTAGAAAAGGATCTAAAGGTTCTACATCTTGTTTTGAAGTAAATCAGAAGAATGACTTCCAGGCAGTTACAAGGAGAATCTAAAGCCCACAACTACTAGGACACACTTCCTCCAATAAGGCCATGATTACTCCAACAAGGCCAAACCTCTTAATAGTGCCACTCCCTGGGGTAAATGTTCTCAAACCACCAAAACTGTAAAGAAAAATCAGGAACATCCTTAGTCAGCGGGGCAATGCAATTCAAGTCTACTTTGAGATTTCATCTTACATGCATCAGAATGGCTAAGATCAATAAAACAAATAACAACATGTTCTATGCTGTAGAAAATGTGGAACAAGGGGAACACTTCATTATTGATGGTGGCAGTCCAAACCTTTACAGTCATTATAACTGTTGTACCTACCCCTATAGGCTTTGTTGTGGCTTGTGTTGTATTGCATCAGTAGTTGGCATAGAGGAGAGAGGCTATGTCTACACCTTGTGTTCTGACCTATGAACATCTGAGTGATTTGTAGCTTAATATTCCCTGAAAAAAAAGCCAGAGACAACCACCAGTCCACTGCTATGCAGGCCTGGATGGGCTCCAAGGGTGAAAGGCAGCCTGGACACTAGAAGAACCATTTCTAGAACTTAAGTCCCTGAGCAAGAATAAGCCCCAGACATGGGCCTGAGATGAATCCTTCCTGGTGCCATAATTACAAGCAGGGCATAGCACTCATGAGATCACTCCTTAGATGACACAAGACATTCAGAGATCCTGCCTACCATTAAGAGGAACAAGTAAGTGATCACAAAATAAAACAGAAAGAAACAGAAGTATGTAGGCACAATGAAGAGAGACAGAACTGGAGACTCAAAGTTAATGAGGAATAGCCTGATCTGAGTAGATGGTGATGCTACCTGGGTCCTTGGTGAGATCCTGGCCTGTGCTTCCTCCAGGACCCACATCCAGGTCCATAGCCCCGCATTAGCAGCTATCTGTTACCACTAAAGGCCAGGAAGACTTCCCTGGTCTTGGCTGCTGCCTGGAGAACATATATACATATATATACACACATATAAACACACATACACAACCACACACACACAACTTTTAAGAGTTTACAATGAGAAAATACTTTTTTAAATGCTTACTTAGTAATATTAAACATGGGTATTCATTAATAATTTTATTCTCCATTTAATATTCTAGATAGTATATTTACAAAATTCCTAAAAAGACATCAACAAAAGTAAGAGCTAAAACCAAAGGACTAAGAAAATACAATGAATAAAGATATTATAATAAAGATATGTATAGTTCTCTTTTAGACAGCAAGTAAAAAAAATCAACTATAGTAATACACATTGACACCTGTAAAATCAAAATACTGAGCAACAGACTAAATTCTGAGAATATAATTTTATTTGTTGTGTTTGAAAGAAGTAATTTCAGGTAGGAATCTAAATCTTAGGCTAGAACAAAGAAGTAATTTCAGGCAGGAATCTAAATTTTAAGTTAGAACAAGGAAGTAGGCTTCAGACGTGAAAATGGCTTTGGGCTAGGACAGGGAAGTTGGCTCAAAAATTTTGGTAATACTGATAAGCCCTCAAAAACAGTAATCAAGCTCAAGGGAGTACTCACAGAATTTTATTTCCTTGCTTGTTCTTTGACTATTTGTGTTTATTGTCTTGCTTGTTCATTGAATATTTGCATCTATTGTATTGTTAGCTCCTCAACCTAGAACTGACCTTAATACTTGAATGTAATTAAAATGGTATAAAAGCAAATATAAGTGGGGGCATGGGATAGGGGGTTTCTAAGGAGGGGAAATGGGGAAAGGGGATGACATCTGAAATGTAAATAAATAAAATATCCAATAAAAAAGAAAATAAATTCCACACTTTATTGAAAATTTGAAAATTAAATAACACTAAAAGTGTGATACTTAAAATTGAATACAGTAGATGTCTTAGTTTGGGTTATGATTGCTATGATAAAATTCCTTGGCCAAAATCAGTTTTGTGAGGAAAGGATTTATTTGGCTTATACTTCCAATTCTATAGTTAACCACTCTAGACATATATATGTGACAATTAAAAGAGGAAGTGTCACAAATTTGAAAGAGAACATATGGGAAGGTTTGAAAGGAGGAAAGAGAAAAGTAAGATGATATAATTATGTAATAACCTCAAATACTAAAAGGCATTATTATTAAGAATGAAGCAAATACATAAAATTAGGTATTAGTATAAAAAGTTGGTGAGAAATAAGGTAGACAATAGAGTATATAAGAGACAAGAGGAAGAAACTGTTGGAAATTTTTAAGTATGTTTTGTGCAAGAAAACGCATCAGAAGAAATAGAACATGAAGTATTCCTATAAATATTTATAATATCAGGAGGATTAAAGGGAATATTAACTCTGGGAAAAGATCAAAATGAGATGATAAGATGATAGAAGGAAATGAAAAGTTAGATTTTATCATAAAAAATTGAGGACTGGCAATATTATAAACAGGTTATTCAAATTAGGAATAGCTAGTGATGATCAGAAGTTTAAAATAAACTCAGGGATGGAGAAGGGTTTCAGTAAAAATTCAGACTATAAAAGAAATAGAAAAAATACTGGCAACTACACTGATGGTTATAGAAAGTTATATATATATGTATATAATTTATTAACGATAGAAAAGGGAAAGTACATTAAAAGATTTATAATGTGCTGAAAACATTCTTGCATATGAAGCAATTTATGTATTGCTCCAGTTTTTCCCGGCTTCGCTAGTCTGCTGGGTCTTCACTTGTCCACTGTAAGTTTTAACTTAACAACTTTGGCTGCCTCATCTTCTTCCGGGATAGTACTTAGAGTTCATAACCAACTATGTGATGCTCACCATAGTAAAAATTACAAAAGCTAAGTTTCAAGTTAGACCTCATCAGACTCACTGATTTTAGTTCATTCATCCATTTCTAGATAGCTCAATTACCATGTCATACACTGTATAATTCAGATCCCCAGTATTTGTATCAATGAGCTGGATAAAATAAACTAGGGAAATGAATATAAGGCTTTGTTAGGTAAGTATTGACTAATGAGAGAAAGGTTTGAATATTCTAATTTTAATTATTTTTCTATGATGTAGATCATCTACAAAAGTAACTCAGAGAGGAGGAGGTTTGATTTAGGTTACAATTTAGAGGACATCTTGGAACAAGGCCAAGTTAAGAGCTCAAACCAGAAACCTGGGGGTAATACCTGAAGTTGAGATGATGAAGAAGGGCTGCTTGCAGACTTGCTTGCTCTGACTTGCCCAGATTCTTTTTCAATACAGCCTACTCTCACATGTCCTGGAGATAGCAGACAGTGGGCTAGTTCCACACACATGAATTAATAATAACAAAAATGCACCATAGACATGCTCACAGTCCAATTTAATGGAGACAGTACTCCAAGTGATGTTCCCTTATCCCAGGTGATTCTACTTGTTGTCATGTTGAACAAAACAAAAAACTAAAACAAAACTTAGAACAGTGGGCTAAAACTAGTAACTAAAACTTTCACCCCTGACCACCTAAGGTAGGATGCTTTCATCAATCTGAATATAATGTACTCTGTGTTGGAGCAAGCACATGTATTCTTTAGTAAAGTTAAAGATACCATAATGCAATGGTAATACTTCACTTTGCTCTATCCATCTACTTCTACATTCTACTTGTTTCTTATTTTTATGTATGTTCTATTGTTTTTAAGATATAGTCTCTTGTGACTCAGGCTGTCCTCTAACTAACAATTTACCTAAGGATGATTTTGAGATTCTGAAATTCATGCCTCTTGTGCCCAGTATTGTGAAGAGAGCCACGTGCCTTCATGCTAGGTTTATGCTGCACTAGGAATGTAGCTCAGTCCTTTGTGCATATTAGGCAAGCACTGTAACAATTGAGATACATTATCTGTTTTTTTTAAATCTAAGTAGTATCTTCAGAAATTTTAAAAGATTCTCTGTACACACACACACACACACACACACACACACACACACACACACACACATCTTGTCTGTTTTAAGACATCCCAAAGTCAGACATATTTTTTGTTACAAGTGCTGAAGTACTATAGTATATTATTACCATTATCTAAACAGCGTGTTTTAAATTAAAGTCATTCTCATTGCCTTATATTTTATGGGTTTTGATGGTTCATAACAACATACTTATAATAACAGTGTGTATAAATAGATAAGGTAAGGCAGAGACCCAAATAAAGCAGTTAGGAGAATATTCTTGCTGGAGAGAAGGAATACTAGAAGACACTTATGATCCTTGATTCCTTCTAATCTATTACCTTTACCTAGAAGCAATACATGAGGACACAATTGAAACTGAGAAGTACCTGGACAAATTATGATAGGGCCTAATGGACTGACAAATTCATCTTCCCTCTGTACTACCTGAGATTCTGCCCCCAGTACCATAAGAGTCCCCAGACTAGCAACGTTAACTTACATTTTCCCCTAGGAACCAACTCTAACTTGGAAGCAGCCATACCTTGTTTTTATCTTAAGCCCTACCTATGAAGCTACAACTCAACTTCTGTAGTTCATAAATTGGAAAGGAGGAAATCAAGATATCACTTATTGCAGATGATATGATAGTACACTTAAGTTGCTACAAAAATTCCAGGAGAGAACTACAGTTGATAAACAACTTCAGCAAATTGGTTGGATACAAAATTAACTCAAATAAATCAATAGACTTTTCTACTCCAAAGATAAAGGGGCTGAGAAAGAAACTAGGGAAATGACACCCTTCACAATAGTCACAAAAAATATAAATCACCTTGGTTTGGTGTGACTCTAACCAAGCACGTGAAAGATCTGTATGACAAGAACTTCAAGACTCTGAAGAAAGAAATCGAAGGTCTCAGAAGATGGAAATACCTCCAATGCTAATGGATTGGCAGGATTAATATAGTAAAAATGGCCATCTTGCTGAAAGCAATCTACAGATTCAATGCAAAGCCCCATAAAAATTCCAATTCAAATCTTCAAAGAGTGAGAAAGAGCAATTTTCAAATTCATTTGGAATAACAAAAATCACAGGACACCAAAAACATGCTCCACTTTGTTCATAGCACCCTTATTTATAATAGCCAGAAGCTGGAAAGAACCCAGATCTCCTTCAACAGAGGAATAGAACCACAAAATGTGGTACCTTTATACAAAGGAATACTACTCAGCTATTAAAAACAATGAATTCATGAAATTTGTAAGCAAAAGCCTGGAATTAGAAAATCTCATCCTAAGTGCAGTAACCCCATCACAAAAGAACACACATAGTTTGCACTCACTGATAAGAGGATATTAGCCCCAAAGTTCAGAATACCCAAGGTACAATTCACAGACCACATAAAGCTCAAAAAGCCAGACCAAGGTGTCAGTCATTCGTAGAATGGGGAAAAATATGAGAGGAAATACAGAGACAAAATATGGAGCAAAGACTGAAGGAAAGGCCATTCAGAAACTGTCTCACCTGGGAATCCATC